AGGCAGTAGGCAGTTTTTCCGGTGACCCCCTGGAGCTTCAAGGCGTGGAGACTTCCAGGCTGCACTAAGTCCTTCTCTGCCTCTACAGACAATAGGTCTGCAAGCAGGCACAGCTCCAAACCCCCACCAGGGACAGGAGACAGTGCCCTGTCTATTTTAACTAGATGAAACTGTGGAAGCCTCAAGCTAGGGTGGGGAGCCAGCACTCAGGGAGGAGGGGGAATGCCTCACTCACAGCAATTTTGCTGGTCTGGGGCTAAACTTGTCATGGAACTGAGACTGGATTAGCTCCTTTTCAGGAATGGAACCCTGTAGGTTTTTCCTGGTTTTATGGAACTCTGCAGGTGGTAACTTGCAGCTTCAAGCATCCACCAGCTGGGGAGGAAGCTGAGGGCGGGAGCCACCCAGGCCTTTGGAATTTGCCCCACATGAGTGCCAGATATTGGTGAAATTATTAAGGCCACTCCATGTAGTTAAAAGGGAGGTTTATTTAGTGGCATAACTTACAAATGAGGGGATAGGTAGGTTGCAGGGTCTGGGAAAGATGCAGAGCAATCCAGCGGTGTTCTCTGGAGAACTCTGCTCAGTCTACCTCTAGCGTCCAGGGTCCAGGAAACAAGAGAAATGGTGCATCTGGATCTCAGGTGTTCAAGGTCTTCTCTTGGCCCCGCCTTGTGCCTTGTAGGCATGACAGTTACCAAAGCCTCAATGGGGGTTGGAACTTCCAGATCAAGGTTAGAATGGTGACCCACTTCATAAGGGTCAAATTTCATTTGTCTTCATATGAACATACAGTTTTTACAGTACCATTTGTTGGATTTTTTTTCTTTTCTCCAGCTTGTGCTTTTTGCATCTTCATTAAATAATTAAATAGTAAATGTGTGTGCTCACATCTAGTTCTTTGATTGTCCCCCACTGTTCTTCATGTCTTTTTTTCTCCTCCAAACACCTCCCAATCCACCATGGCTCTGTAATATATCTTAAGATCTGAAATGATAATCTCCAAAATAATTTTTAGCTAAAGATTATTTTGGCTATCTTGGGTCTTTTCTGGTTCCTTATGAATTTTGGAATAGTCTTTTCTGTTTCTGTGATTAATAAAATGGAGATTTGGATATAAATTTCATTAAATTTATAAACAACTTTTGTTAGTTGTCCTGGCTAGTTTTATGTCAACTTGAAACAAGCCAGAATCATCTGAAAGAAGGGAAGATTAACTGAGGAATTACCTCCATAAGATTCAAAATTAGGGAATTTTATTGACTAGTTATTGATATATTAGGGCCCAGGCTATTGTGGATAGTGTTTTCCCTGGGCTGCTGGTCACTGTTTCTATAAGAAAGCAGACTGATAAAGCAAGGAGGGGCAATGAACTAAGCAGCACCCCTCCATATCCTCTTTATAAACTCTTGCCTCCAAGATCCTGTTCTGTTTGTGTTCCTGTCCTGGCTTCCTTCAATGATGGACAACAATGTGAAAGTGTAAGGCAACTAAACCATTTCCTACCCAACTTGCTTTTTGTGATCATGTTTTATCAAAACAACAATAAGTCTAAGACAATAGAATTATCATTTTCACATTATTAATTATACCAATCTGTGAACATGGATTTCTATTTTCTACTATCTTTCCCTGTACCTTACTTCAAAGGTTTAAAGTTTTCATTGTAGAGGTCCTTCACTTCCTCATTTAGATAGAATTTTGGGGATCTCTAACATATATCATAGTTTTTATTATATTGAGATTTGTTCTCCTTATGCATCCATGGACTAGAATTTTTTATTATGAATTCATGTTGGATTTTGTCAAAAGACTTTTAATCATCTATTGAGATGATCATGTGGTTTTGATCTTCAAGTTCATTCATGTCATTTATTACATTCATTGACTTCTGTATACTGAACAACCTCTTCATTTCAGGTATAAAACTAAGTTGGTCATGGTGGATGATCTTATCATGAATGTCTGAATTCTGTTTACAGATATTTTATATGAGTTTTTTTGAGATTGTTAATTGAGAATATTGTCCTGTAGTTTTCATTATTTATTGTCTCTAACTGATTTGGGTATTAAATGGTAACTGTGTTAGTAGATTGAATTTGTGATTGTTCCTCCTATTTCTATTCTACTTAATGTTAGGAAGAATTGGAATAGGGAGCCTCTAAGAGTCTTACCTAAGTCCTCTGTAAATATGTTATGATTGTGCACCTTGTTGTTCTTGTGGAACTCATAACAGTGGCTGTAGGAGCTGTCTCTGACACTTTTCTTCCTACTGAGTTGCCTTATCCAACCTTAGTATCAAGGTATTTGCCTATTCTTATCATAATTTGTTATGCCATGTTTGGTTGATATCTCTTGGAAAACTGCTCTTTTCTGAAGAGAAATAGAGGAGTGGATCTAATGGAGAGGGGGTGCTCAGAGGCAGGTCTGGGAGGAGAGAAGGGAGGAGAAACTGCAGGAGGGATATAATATATGAAAGAAGAATAAATAAATAAATAAATAATAAATAAATAAATAAATAAATAAATAAATTTTAAAAAATTACCTTAGGCAAAAGAATTTTTAAAAAAGAATTATTTGTTGTAGTTCTTCCTTGATATACTAGTAGAATTATGCTGTGAGTCCATCTAACACTGGACTTGTGTTTTGGTTGGAAGGCTTTTATTACTATTTCAATATCTTCACTTGCTTTGGGGCTGTTTAGATTGATTTCTTTTTGGTTTAAATTTGAGAGTTATTCACAGTGCTCTCTTCTACAGCTCAGGACCACTTTCCCAGGGATGGGACCAGCCACAATGGACTTAACTCTCCTACATCAATCATTAATCAATGAATGTCCACAGATATGCTTACAGCCCAATCAGGTTGAGGCAGTTCCTAAATTGAGGTTCATTTTTTTTCCCAAGTGTCTCTAGTTTGTGTCAAGTTTGCAAAAACTAATAGCAAATAGTTTATACTTCTCTGTGTAAAGTATATTCTCACACCTAAAATGGTGTGAATCAATGTTGGTCCTTATCCCAATCATTATCAGAGAGGCTTCCTCCAGAAGCTGATGGGAGCAGATACAGAGACCCAGAGCCAAACATTAGGTGCAAAGAGAGTCCATAATGGAGATCTACATCTGGTGCCTCACATTAGGCTGAAAAAACACCTCAGAAGAAGGAGAGGAAGAATTATAGGAGCCAGAGGGGTTGAGAAGACCAGGAGAACACAGCCTACAGAATCTACTAAGCAGGACTCAAAGGAGCTTGCAGAGACTGGGGCAGCAATCAGAGAGCCTGCATAGGTCCTCTGCCTATATGCTATGGTTGCTAGCTCGGTGTTTCTGTGTGATTCTTAATAGTAGGAGTGAGCATATTTTTGACTCTTTTGCCTGCTCTTGGAACCATTTTCCTCCTACTGGGTTGCCTCAAACAGCCCTGTGCTGTGGGATGCTCTGTATGGCAAATGTGTTGCTGATTAGTCAATAAATAAAACACTGATTGGCCATTGGCTAGGCAGGAAGTATAGGCGGGACAAGGAGGAGAACAAGCTGGGAAGTGGAAGGCTGAGTCAGAGAGACACTGCCAGCCGCCACAATGACAAACAGCATGTGAAGATGCCGGTAAGCCACGAGCCATGTGGCAAGGTATAGATTGATGGAAATGGATTAATTTAAGCTGTAAGAACAGTTAGCAAGAAGCCTGACATGGCCATACAGTTTGTAAGCAATATAAGTCTCTGTGTTTACTTGGTCGGGTCTGAGTGGCTGTGGGACTGGCAGGTGAGAGAGATTTGCCCTGACCGTGGGCCAGGCAGGAAAACTCTAGCTACAGCCCTGATCTGAGGCTTTGTGCTTAGTCATTTGATTGAATCTTGTTTGCAATGTTCAGGTTGATATCCCTGGAAGGCCTGTTTTTTTTTAAGGTAAATAGAGAAGAAGTGGATCTGGGGGACAGGGAAGGTATGGGGAATGGGAAGAGTGGAGGGAAGAAAAACTGAATTTACTGAATAAGAGAAGAAAAATAAATAAAAATATTAATATTAATAAAATAGGAATCAATTCTTCCAAATCCAATTCTTATATATAGTTCTCTTTCTTTATAGCTTCAAAGCAACATAAGGATTCATTATAGAAATGTTATTCACCATTTTGAATGCAAGGTCAACAACTGATATAATCAGAATCAATGATAAGAATGGAATGAGAACATTACCTTGGAGATTGGTTGGGAAACTGACAAAAGAACAATTATTCCCTCCAGTAGACATGGACACTAGTGATTTTCACACCTAGGATTACATGGGTATTGCTAAAACTAGTATAATTAAAGGCCTTGAATACTGAACGCCAGTGACACAAAAACTGTAGAAGTAGGTCTGTGATTCTTTTGGGCTTACTATGCCAGTCATAAAGCAATAACAAAGGCTTTTCCTACATCTAATCTTTCTTAGTGGTCAGTTGACCTTGTGATTTTTAATTACTTTCAAAAGGAAACATTTATGATCAGCATCCAGTCAAGATGTTTATCATGGCTTTTCTTTAATCTAACCAGATAACTAAAATCCCTTTATGAATGTTTGGGATATTAGCTAAACTTCATCAATAGAATATCATCCCGTTTATTAGTGAGGACTCTATGAAAAAAATGTATAGTAAAACACTATGTGAAAAGAATACTATAAAAATTTTCACCAATATCTGTTCTCAACCTAACACATGTTTATGGACATCTGCACTAATGCTGATCAGCCTCCATTATGCTAGTCCCATGCTCTATGCAGAAAGAGCACGAATTTCCTGCTTAACAAACCCATGTTTCTGTTAGAACATGATGTTTGCTACTGAATCCTGCAAATGTTGCTTTCATTATTGTTTATACATTGAAGAGGGGGCTTCATTCAAGCATTAGTTGCTATGGATTCTGTAAGCATGTGTCATAAAATAAATGGATTAGCAGAAGAAATTTTTTATAGATAGATTTGGATCCTAGAATTCAAAGAGCAAGTTTATGAAGTTGATGGTCCAAACATCCTACCTTTACAACTCACTTTTATTTCAAATCACTCAACAGCATGGAGCTGTCAACCAAACAACTATCTCAGAATTCATTCTTCTGGTGATTAGTGAAGATCCAGATTTGCAGCCTTTCATCTTCAGCCTCTTCCTGTCCACATATCTGATCACCATCTTAGGAAACTTGCTCATCATCCTGGCTGTTAGCTCTGACTCGCAACTACACAAACCCATGTATTTCTTTCTCTCCAACCTGTTCTTTAATGATATCTGTTTAATCACAACCACAATCCCAAAGACAGTGGTCAACATCCAAGTTCAGGATCAAACCATCTCACACACACACACACACACACACACACACACACACACACACACACACACATGATGCCTCTCTTAGGTCTGTCTGTCTTATCTTGGATTTTGGTAGCATAGAAAATTGTCTTCTTGCAGTAATGGCATATGACCACTTTGTTGCCATCTGTCACCCCCTGAAGTACATAGTTATCATGAATGCACACTTCTCTGTTATGACAGTTCTCTTCTCTCTGTTCTTTAGCATTATACACGCTTATTCCACACTCTGATGGTTTTAGGGCTGTCTTTCTGCACAGAAACTGAAATCCCCCACTTCTTTTGTGAGTTGGCTCAGATCATCAACCTTGCCTGTTCTGATATTTTCATCAATTATATGCTGGTATACACTGTGTCTGTTCTATTTTTTGGTATTCCTGTCTTTGGAATCATTTTGTTTTATATTCACATTGTCTCTTTTGTTTTAAGAATGTCATCCTTGAGAGGAAAGTATAAAGCCTTTTCAACCTGTGGGTTGTCAGTTGTTTCTCTGTTTTATGGAACAGGTTTTGGAGTACCCATTAACTCTGCATTTTCAGACTCTCCAAGGAAGACTGTAGTGGCTTCAGTGATGTACACTGTGGTCATTCAGATGCTGAACTCCTTTATCTACAGCTTGAGTAAGAGAGACATGAAGAAAGCCTTCAGGAAAGTAATAAGTAGGATAACATCTTTTTTTATAATCTAGCATCATTATATCAAAGTCTTAGAGTAAACAAAACTTACCAAACACTCTGTGAATCAAGATAATTGATCTCTGTCATTGAAGTGTTATATAACAGGTAACAGACATAATAAATATGTACATTTTAACTATTTGAAACCAGACATCCCTCTATGTCTAACTCAGTGTTTTAATACATTTGTTTCTAAAGAATATGTATCTATTGGGTTCCTCAGAAGAAGATGTTTAAACTGAGGTTCTGTTTTTATCAAAGACATTTTGAGCAAAATCTCAGAACGCAGCGTGCAAAAGAATAACCAGGCCATTAAAATAAAGATCAGCACCCTTGCAGGATTGGATCAGGGACACAATTAATATTGAGTCTCATGACCATCATGATATGTGGATAGGAAAATTAATTTCAAAAGCTTTGAGGAAAAATAATGTCAGATGTTTTGGTTGTGGTAAACAAGGTCATTTGAATAGGGAGTATAAACAGGGCATACCTAGAAAGAATGTTTATTCAATGAACAATGGCAACAGAATGTCCCTCCCTTCTGGTTTACACAGGAGGTGTGGTAAGGGTAAACATTGGACCAACAAATGTAGATCAACAAGAGACAGACAAGGTAATCCTTGCTCTGCCCTTGGGAAACTCCCAGAGGGGCCTCATGCCAGCCCTCACAGCAAATTCAGTTCAGACAATTCCTGTCATCATAGAAGAAACCCCTTCTCAGAACAATTAAATAACCAAATGCCTATTGGAATAAACCAGGCTTCTGAGGATGATAGAACAGCTGTAGCAGAAAGAATAGAAAATTCAGGAAAAAACATAAAGAGAATTTTTGGCAAATATCTATAAATGAACAAAGGCTAAAATTAAAAATACAAATAAATGATGTTTTTATGGAAGGTTTAGTAGACACAGGTGTGGATGTGACAATAATTGCACCAGAATTTGGTCATCCAAATTGGACTCTTCAGGAGGTGAATGTTCAGCTGTTAGGGACTGGAACATTATCTTAAGTGAAACAGAGTACAAGATGTTTTGGTTAATGATGGCTTAAATGTATAGGTCCAGAAGGACAGTGAGGAAAATTAAAGCCATATATGGCTAATATAACTTTGAACTTATGTGGCCATGGTTTATTATAACAATGGAATACTCAGATTAGCATCCCTCCAACCTCAGAAACAAATAATAAACTAACACATGTTTCTGAGAGAAATGTTAGGAGATATTATTATAAAGAGTGGTCACCAGCCATCCAGATTGTATAAGAACAGGGCACAACTGATGATCTTCCAAAGACACCAACAGCTCTACCTTTAAAATCGTTAACAGACAAGCCTGTATGGGTTCAGCAATGGCCTTTAACAACAGAGAAACTGCAGGCTTTAGGAGAGCTGGTAGAAGAGCAATTAAATGCACAGCATATTGAAGAATAAACCAGCCCTTGGAATTCTCCTATATTTGTTATTAAAAATAAATCTGGTAAATGGAGAATGGTAACAGGCCTAAGAGCAACTAACAAAGTAATTCAGCCAATGGACTGTCTACATCCTGGAATTTCTTTGCCTACTTTGATACCTAAAGGATGGCCCCTTATAATTATTGATTTAAAAGACTGTTTCTTATCAATACTCTTACAAGAAAAAGACAGAGAAAGATTTGCCTTCACAGTTCCTACTTATAGTAATTCTCAACCACTTAAGAACTATCAATGGAGGATTCTCCCATAGGGAATATTGAATAGTGCAACCCTGTGCCAATATTTTGTATAATAGCCATTGGAAGTAATACATAAACAACTTCCTAAATTTATGATATTTTACTAGCTGATTCAAATGCAGATAATTTAGAAAATGTTTGGAGAAGTAAAGAAAATTTTGCCTTGTTGGGAATTATAAATTGTTCCTGAAAAGATACAAAGAGGAGATTCTATTAATTATTTAGAATATACAATAGGTCTACAAAAAATTAGATCCCAAAAGGTACAAATTAGGAGAGATCGATTACAGACTCTTAATGACTTTCAAAGATTATTTGGAAATATTTCCCATCTATGAACTATTGCTGGGGTAAAAAATGGTGAACTGAGTAATTTGTTCAAAACCTTAGAAGGTGACAAGGACTTAAATAGTCTAGGAGAATTATCAGCTGAAGCTGAGAAAGTATTGGCCTTGGTGGAAAAGAAAGTACAGGTAAGACATGTGGATTGTGTTGATCCAAAGCCCAGATGCATTTTGGTTATTTTACCCACTAGGCATTCTCCTACCTGAATTTTAATGCAGAGGGAAGATATTATATTGGAATGGATATTTCCACCAAATAAACCGAGTAAAAAAGTAAAAACTTATGTTAAAAAGGTCTCTGATTTGACTTTAGAGGAAAATTGAGACTTCATCAGTTAGTGGAATAGACCCAGCAGAAATTGTAATATCTTAACTAAGGAAGACATTGACAAATTATGGGCAGAAAGTGACCATTGGCAAAGAGCTTGCAGTAATTTTTTGGGAGAGATTAACAACAAATATCCCAAAATCAATAGAATTGAACTTATAAATACAGCTGATTGGATTTTGCCTCACATTGAACAGGAAACACCCATATATGGAGCTTGTACATTTTATACAGATGCAACCAAACAAGGAAAGGCAATTTACAAATTAGAAAATTCAAGTAAAGTGGTTCAAAATTCTTATAATTTAGTTCAGAAATTGGAATTGTATACTAGTCTGCTGGTATTAATGGATTTTATGGAACCTCTCAATATAGTTACTGACTCTCAGTATGCTGAAAGAGTGGCATTACATAATGAGACTACAGAATTTATCCCTGATGAGTCAGAATTTACTTATTTATTCAGTGACAAGATATAATCAGGGATATGAAGCATCCCTTATATATAACTCACATCTGATCCCATACGGGTCTGCCAGACCCTCCAGCACAAGGTAATGATGAGATTGAAAAATTATTGATAGGAAATGTGCTGGATGCCTCAGAATTTCATAAAAAGTATCATGTCAATAGTAAAGTTTTAAAAAAGGATTTTTCATTAACCTGGCAACAAGCCAGGGAAATTGCAAGGAAATGTCCTACTTGTTCCTTTTATAATCAGACTCCATTAACAGGAGGATGTAACCCAAAGGATACTCAGAGGAATGAAATCTGGCAGATGGATGTATTTCACTTTGCAGAATTTGGAAAATTGAAATATATACACCATACCATTAATACTTATTCAGGATATCAATGGGCAACTGCTTTGAGTTCTGAAAAAGCTGATTCTGTAATCACTCATTTGCTAGAAGTTATGGCTATCTTTTGGGTATACCTGCACAAATTAAAACTGACAATGCTCCAGCATATGTCTCTGGTAAAATGAAGCTGTTTTTTCTTATTACAATATAAAGCAAAATATAGGTATACTACATAATCCTACAGGCCAAGCAGTTATAGAAAGATCAAATAGAACTCTAAAGGATATGCTCAATAAACAGAAAGGGGTAACAAAACCCCCTAGAAATAGACTGAATAATGCTCTATTAACTTTGAATTTTCTCAATGCCAATGAGAAAGGAACAACAGCTGCAGAGAGACATTGGATAACAGAAAAAACTTCAGAATTAAATCAGCCTATATACTTTAAGGATGTGCTGACCTCAGAATGGAAATCAGGGTATGTATTATGTTGGGGACGAGGTTTTGCTTTTGTTTCTACAGGAGAAGATAAGCTCTGGATACCATCAAAATTGATAAAGGTTCAATTTGAACAAGAGAGACCTCTTAATTAGAAGAGGTGATAGTTCATCAACTAGCATGACCATCCAATTTAAACTAACACACCATTAACACATGCCTTTTCTTTAATCAGATACAATTTGCCAAAAGGGAACCTCCCCAAAGTTAGTCTTGGGGAAAGGTTTCTGATTTTGTCTTTCAGGAGAATGAAGGCTAAGTAATCTGAAGAACATTGGACAAATGAGACATCTGAAAATAAAGGACAAATCATGTAAAAAAAATTGTTCCAAGAAAAGGAGTAAGCTGGTCTATTGGTATATCAGCTATAAAATTTCATAAGTCTTCATAAAAGTTTGTTTCTGGTTTTCTCTAAAGACATTTAACACAAATGGTCTTCTTATAGTCACAGTTCAATTAAAAATTCAAGCTGTCTTTGGAGTTGGAGAATGACTCTCTCCTTCTTTAAACCCAAGCATGTTGTTAAAAGGGAAACGCAAACTCTCTGTATCATGGCAGAAGAAAGAGTCATCTTCTGATATGTGATAGGAGAAAAAAATGAGGAATCATTCTATTGCTACTAATCTCAATTCTTTGATTCTATTTTGATTCTTTAACCTTTTCTTAAAGTATGAATTGTATATCAAAATTTATAAGATTAATATATATATTAAACTTTGTTAAGATATTAATGATCATATAGAGTACTAACTAATTCTAGAAAAAGGCTCATTTAGATGCCTATACATGTCTTTGTGTTTGAGTCTCTGTTAGTTTTCTTCAGGAAATCATGACCAGGCCTAGCATCAAATTTGAAGTCTCCAGAAAAATGATGGGTCCCCACAACAATTCCACATGGACAATAATAATACCATTAAGCTTACAAACATCACCTACAGATCTGCTTTGGACTACAAACTGCTCAAAACAATTTTGAATTGGCCAGCTGAGATGATCCAGTTTCACAGACTACTTGAACAAGGACTTGAGAAAAGCCATGAACTTTGGCATTATGCAGAGAGTGGACAACAAATGATATAGCTACCTTTTCTAGAACTTGACAATTAACCCAAAATTTTTCGTTTCAGAATAAAGATGCCTTCACCCATAACCAGCAGGAAGCAATTTTTAAAACACAACGCCCACATTCCCAAAGAGGTGGTGTGGGTCAGGTGGTTTATGGTCTTTCAATGGGTTTGGGGTTTGGGATACTTTTCATTGTTTAGGAGGGTTGGTTACAAGTTGTTGCTGTTAATGGTTAGGAAAAGGGCCAAGCAAA